TGAGAGTGTGGTCGTACATTGACGAAAAGCAGCCAAACTTTGGTGAACGCTTAATGACCAAGGGTGGAAGTTGTTTTTCTACACAGTGGTAGTGGAGTGTCTCTTTGGTCTAAGTTTTAGGATAAATAATCCTACAGAATTTGGGTTGTTCGAGAATAAACTATTTGGAAGTGTAGTGGCGTGCAAAAGTTTTTGGATAGATTTGTTCCCTTTGTGCGGCAGAAGCGACAGTTTAAGGAATTAGATTGTATTGTGAATTATAATTAACAACACCTTATTTGGCGTCAAATTGTCGTGCGAAGTAAACGCCACATTTTGCCTCAGTTGCAATTGAGATTTTAGTGTAAAAATAAGCCTAATATTTATTATTGTAAGTTTAAAATTTTAAAGATATAGCATCGACAAAGTGGAAACAAAATTTACGTAGAAACTAATATCTTTCGCAAAATTTAAATAAGAGTTTTTATTTTTGTCAGTTTCAAGCATAAAAAATGTTTATGTTTCTCTATTAAATCAAGGCATTCATAGAAAATTAGCACGTAGATATATTTTATTGTCCGTCTGTAATGTGTTAATATATATTGTTAACTTATATCATTAAATATAAATTATATTATGTAATGTTGCAACAACGTTTCATTTATTCAAACTTTTACACACTGATGAATCAATGTCAACGTATCTCCCTGCGATATCTAGGATTCCTTCTCTATTTAATATTGGACATTATATCGAACGCGAATAAAACGTTCCGTTATGAATATATTACAAATTCAACGGTGCAGGTATTTCGTTTCAATGATTGGCTCGTGCAGCGGCAAGTAGTCCCCTTTTGTCCGATCAGACCGATTCAATTCGATTGGCAGAGTTTTTGTCCAGCTGAACGATTACGAAGAGGGGGGGGGGAGGGATGATCGTGTTCCTCCGGTGCTCGACACGGGAATTACGAAACTGGACCACTCGCTAATTCCAAATCAAAGTAGATGGACGAAATCGTGGTATAGAGCAGACTCGTATCGAATGTTAACGAATCGAACGTAATCGAGCGCCAGGCTCCATCGACGCTGAAGCGGAGGCTATTTCGCGCAGAGTTTGCAACGAACGGATCGGTCAAAGTGCCGGCAGTCAATTGAATAAAAATGGCGAAAGAAAACGTGGAACTTTGAGCAAAGCGAGAGCTAAAACAGAAAGACGCCGCTCGACGGAGAAATCGAATTTTCGAGATACGTGTGCTGCGAGAGAAATTTAAAAAAGAAAAAACGAATTTCAGTTGCGAACCGGTATGACTGATTTATCACGCCCGATTGTTATGTTACAACAATGCGTGAATTTAGAACTGACCGCAATTTTTGTTAAATTGGAAATGTTCTAATCCTAATGCTTGTTCCAACAAGCGCAATTCGATTCTCTAGTGGATTCAGCTTTTAGATAATATGTACAATTCGTCTTTATTAACGAGATTCACGTTCTCAAGCTCGCTGACAAATATTAGTTCGCTTTGCGAATCTCGAATTCAATTACTCATGCAGATCCGATAGATTTATTATTCATATTGCGTAGTAATTCGACGACAAATTGTCGATCGAGGAGAAAATAAATACGTGCACTTTAAACGGCGATGCCTTTGCGTCGATTCGCTCGCGAGCACGTATCGCCGTGCCGACTAATTGCGAGCGCGCGAGCAGCCCTTTCTCTCGCGCTGACGCGTGTCAAACGATAATTAATAACCTCTCGCTGGTCGGTGCTGACGGTAAATAAACACACACACACACACACACACACACACACACACACACACACACACGGAGCGGCGCGGCGGTTCGCGATCGAGCGATCGACCAGCGTGAAGAGTCGGCGTCGGTCGAGAGAGCTCTCGTGTAAAATGCCTAAAATACATTGGGCCGTGTCGCGATAAATTACGCGAGCGTCGCGACGCCGCATAATAAAACGGAAACAGGGCTTTAGCGCGCGAGACCGTGGATGAAACACGGGCGGCGATCAACCGGGCTCGCAGCAGCAGCAACAGCAGCAGCAGCAATCTGCTGCTGGGAGGAAAGTCGCGTCTCTCGCGGAGAGAACCTTGGGAAAAATCAGACGATAAGTACTCAAGATGAATTGATAATGCCACGTTTCGTTTAAGGGAATATTCGCGTTGAAATTGAAATCTTCAAAGATTCATTCCGGCAGCTCGACTACTTTGCGAAACTGTTTAATTTAACGAGTATAAGAAATTCACGGTGAAGATTGAAGTTGGAGTCCTTTAACGATCTCTCGCGAGTTCGATTAAGAGATTTATCGTTTGATTCGAGGATAATAACTCACATGGTGAGTAAGAAGCAACGGGCAACTGATACGCGCTTTGGAACGATCCACCGTACCGTTTGCGCGAAAAGTTGCGAAGGGAAATATTTTTCTTGCCGAGGGAGAGGGGGAGAGATCGGCGATTCTCGAAACGAAACGGAGACTTCGTTGACCTCGAACCGGTCCGAAGGTAGTTTATGACGGTGCTTGATTTCCCAAACGAAAGGGAGGAGCGGCGAGAGACCGGAGATTCACAATCCACGGGCCATCGGATTGATATATCGATGTTCCCGCACGGACATGGGGCCTCGCCCCCATGAAGCATTACAACAGGCCCCCGGTTGTTGGACCAGGGGTTCGTGTGTAGTCGAAGAGCATCGAGTGTCTTCTCTCT